ATCTATCTATCTATCTATCTATCTATCTATCTATCTATCTATCTATCCACTTCAAAATATTAAGTATTGAAGTATTTTATATTAAAACAGATCACAACAAAGTTCTGCCTCTGGACATTATTCAAAAGAAGTTTTAAATCAGAATCACAAGACATCATTATCATATCACAGTCATTTCTTTTGACCATATATTGCAACACAGTGCTCAGATGTTGAGCTTCAACGTTGCACTGGAAATTAACTTGTTTAATTGTGCTTGAGTACTGTTAAAATCAATGCAAAAACCGATTTCGTTGTACTAATTTAACTTGGAAGGACTTCATTTCCCAATCTTTCCAATCTAAAACTTCCATCCATCAGTCAAAATTTCTGAATGGTCTTGATTTCTGATACTTTGTCAGACTTTGTGACACATTTTCTGTGTTTTTGACCACAAAGTTAGTAAAATGTCTCTCTGTCTTTCCAATGTAGAAGTCCAATATAGAATACAGGGTTTGTTTGATCACAAAAATTTGAAAAGTTACATTATTGTCAGCTCGGTATCAGACTAGTGTGCAAATATGTATTCTTTTCTGACCTATGGACACAAACAATGTGCATGTTTCCAATTGCGCAAAAGTTCATGTATTTATTGTGTGTCCCTGGACAAAGGGTCGAAGGTTGCTTTATTGGTTGCTACTTTGCCACATCTATCCACAGAGATGCATTGTTAACAAGATGCTATGTTATGGTGGCTCCAATTAGAAATGAGACCCTTGCGTACATTTTAATGTACGTGGATATACCCAAAAACACATCTAGCCATACACTTGAATGGACATTACAAATAAGAATAAACTTTTTGGTGCAACATTAATTTCAGGAATGACACATGTCTACTTTACATATTCTTAAATCTGAAGATAGTTGCCTTTATTTTATTTTCATAATACCTTTAAAGTGTTCCATTTACATGATAATTTATTCAGATCGAGGAACTACACAGTTGCTGTGCTTGCTTATACTATATACTACGGTAAAATATGGCCGTTACAGTGCACAGCAGTCAATACTTCAGATTGTTAGGATAACTCAGAGTGTTTTGGGTAAGTGTTTATTTAAGCATACTGTTTTTCTGTCCATTCTAGTAAAACTCCTGGTATGGAGAGGAGTAAACGGAACGTTAAAGCCATCTGTCAGCCATCACCGCGGCTGCTGTACTGTCTGAACTAACACCCACGCGGGGACGAAACATGCGTTAGCTTGTTCCACAAGCTAGTAGCTTGCTAACTATGAGTATAACCTCCCTTTAAAAAACGCCTAAATGAGAGCGACTTATATTTTGAAGACAAACGGTGACGCCTTTGAGAAATATACCGAAGGTTTTACGATTAAGAAGGTGTGTGGATAATTTCGGCACGCTGAATTCCAACAATACTTCTACCAATTAAAAGTAACAAGACTAATTTAAGGTCGGCTTAGTTAACGTTTCCCGTTATTCAAACACATTTACCTTCGGTGGATGAGATTTATGCCGGAGATAAATAAAGAAACGGAGCTATTAAATTCGTAAGCCACTGGTTATACGATAAGTAAAACACGCTGCCTGTCGATTTTTTTTCCTGCTGGTAAATAATAATGTCTACCACGATACATAACAAGTCATCCACCAGGTGGCGTCAGGCGGTAGTGAGCCCCGGCCGTGTATGACGACCCTGCCGGCGGTCTGCTGAGCCGTGCGGCCCCGGGGCCCAGAGCCTGGACCCCCCCCTGAGGATCCTGCCCCCTGTTGACCCCCCCAGGTCGGCCGTACCTTCTTCTCCACGATGATAACCCCCGCGTTTGACCTGAGCCAAGACCCCGACTACCTGACCCTCAGCATCAGAGTGCCTTACACCAGAACATCAGAGTTTGACCTGTTCATCGATGGGACGGATTTCAAGTTCTACGCCAAGCCCTACTTTCTTAGGTGAGTTTAGGCCTTTTATTGCCTTTCCATTTCCCAATTTTGTCCCCCCAGGTTTATTTCAGCTCCTCATACAGCAAGAGCTATGGAATAATATCCCCTTTTTTTGTTTTCCCCTGTTTATTAAACTTTTTTCGAACTTTGTGCTGATTATCTGTAATATGATGTAAAAGACTACTCAAATGTATACCAAATTTTTTAGTATGAACCAAAATCTAAATAATTTTCACTAATGTTATGGTTATGTTAAGAGTCATACAGGCAGACGGAACAGGTTTGACTGTTACATGCCAAAGTTTAATCAGAATACTGAAACCATCTCAGTATTTTTTAAATTCAAGTTGTTTCCAACACATAACGACACACGTTTCTTTCATTTTTGTGATCAGGGGTATAATGGACCTCATTTACAAGATATCAGGCCTATTTTTTTTTTAAAAACTGCAGGAATGAAATATATATTTATATAGTTTGGATCAGAGGAGCAGAGGAGCTGTATGTTGATGTATTGCCACAGACAGATCTTCGTCAAAGCCGGGTTAGCAAAACTGAGTTCAGCAAAAAGAACACAGTATGGTACAAATCGTTCGATTTTCAGATATTTACATGGAAGAAGACTGAAAGACGTGACATATTAACTGAAGCAGGTCCAATTGACCCAAAACGACAATTACACACATTAATGACACATTCACCCACATTTGTTAATAACACATTCACCCAGATGTAAAATCTTTAACGCCAACAGTCTTGGATATTAAGTTTTGCTTTTCATTAAATATGCATATCTCTTGTTACCAGGTTAACTCTTCCTGGAAGAATTGTAGAGGATGGGAGGGAAAAAGCCATATTCGATGTTGACAAAGGTAAGTCTGCATTAGTCCACAATTACTACAGCTCATGTGCATAAATCTTCACAACATCGTGACCGTTAGCTGTCATTTTCAAAGGCATACCACCCACATTAGGACTTTTGTGTGCCCGCAATGCCGATCAAAGGGCTCCGAAATTCTTTGGATTTGTGGATTACTGGAGAAACGATTTTGTGCGTTTCTGTGTTTTGAGATGTGCTTAAGCCATTACATCCAAACCGATGTCACATACCTGGTCTTTTGTTGTTATTGTCCACCCTAAAGGTCTTATGTGAGAACTAAGAAAAAGCAGCGTCAAAAGACAAGGGTGAAATCTTTAGTGTGTTCATGTCGCTGTGTAGAGAACAGCCAGCACCTCAGTCTGACATGTCTGGAAGCACATTCTTTTAACAGATGTGTTCATTCCAACCAGGGCTGTTCTCGTGACATCTATCGACCTGGTAAATTCGCTGAACTGGTCTTATATCCTCCCACTGTCACCATCTGTGTGTCACGATGGCTGGGCTGCAGCCTGTGTGAAACTTCTTCTAAACGACCATCAGTGTGGCATTTGCTGGAATCCGCTCTTTCCTGTTGGAGCCACCCGGCTGGCTTTCTTAATCCACTTTGATGGAGTCTTTTCAAGGCCTGGCTTTTGATGGCTGCCACCTCTGAGCCCATCTGTCCTGCTGTCTGCAGCTCACGCCGTGTCCGCGTAAGCCTGGAACGTTTGTTTAATAAAAACTCCCGCTAATGACTGTCCTTGTTTAGGCTTCTAATGAGCGATCATTAACATCCGTCGTCCGGGCACTCCATTCCGGAGTAATTAGTCAGCTTCTATTGTAAAGCAATTTAAGCTGCATCACTTGGGTGCATTGAAATTTTACGAGGTCTTTAGGCGACCATCAGATTGTCTCTGTGGTGTACCTAATTGTTGAAGTCATCCATCATGCATGGCGTGTTTGGTAAAGAGGCCTCACTGTAATGATAGAGTAGGAGTAGTATTATTAATCCTTTACCTGGTTTATGCCATGATTTTAATTTAAGTGAGAGAGCAATTTTTAATCTTCTCTGGCCTTGTTGGATTTTGTAGAAATGTTTAAAATCCAACGAACTCTGGTAGGAATTCAGTATCTGGAATTTAGAGCTCGGACTGAAAAAAAACCCAATTGCTCAAGTGATTCTCAGCATTTTGTCAACAGTTGAAAGCAGTTTGATTAACGGTCAGATATCTCTGATACTGTTATAGTGAATATGCTCTATAGAAACAAATCACACTCAAACAATTTCAACCGAGTGATATTACAGCAAAACGCAATTAATAATGATTGTTTTCCTTCAGGTCTATTCTGAGAAGAAAAATAAACACTGAACAACACACTTCTGACGGCTCCCACTAACCAAATGTACTCAGGCCTATGAAGTCTGCAGAGTGCTTTTGGTTCAAAAGCATCTTAAATTTACATATCAACTTATTACAGTTTAATGTAAAATGGAAGATGCTATGTTTTTTTTTTAAGTTGACAAAAATGTGCTCTTTTCATAGATTTATGAAGTGTAAAGAAAAGTTTAAAAGTCAGAGCCAGTAAAGTGTTTTTTTCCCTATATATGCTGGAAAAAAGGGATACATAAAAGTGCCAAACGTTTTGACTTCTTTGCTGTTTCATAAAAAAATGGCTTATTTAATAATGCCGCTGCTTTAACGAATGTCAGTTTATTGTGTTGTGGCCTAAGCTGAAAAGGAGACAGACATATTCAACTTAGCTAGACGCAGAGAGAGCTTGTCAGTGAAAAGACTAAAGACCAATGTCCACTTTGGCTCTGGTCTGATGTCGGTGACAGCCGGTCTAAAATCGTATAGGAAGCCAAGGCTGTTATCATTATGAGTTATTTTTCCCCGAAAAAGATGCTTAAGGTGTTTGCTCCTGAATTGTTTTGGGGGGGAAGGGCTGCTTCAAAGGTGTACATTTGCCTGTGCGTTTATAAAAGAGAGCCTGAAAGCTCCTGGTCTTTTTATTAGACCTTTTTCAGTCTGTCCGGAGCGTCCCTGTGATTTATGTCCTTCATTTCTGTCCAGGTTTTATTGACTTAACGATGTCATTAAGAATTATCATGCACTACCGGGAAGTACTTTAAAAAGCCATTTAATAAGCGATTGCTTCCACTTCCCATTATGATTTGCATATTCGGGGCCACTGTGGTGGAGAAATGGAATGAAACGACACACAAAAGCCCACGTTTGCTCCTAAGATCCAGCTATTATTTCAGAATCAGTCTGTGTTGGTTAAAAACCGTCCTGTCGCTTCTTAGGTCTTTTCACCCTTCGGGTGCCAAAGGAGACAGCCGGGGAGCACTTTGAGGGGCTTCAGATGCTCACGAGTCTGCTGGCTCCAAAGGGCTCCCGGTCAGCACAGCCTCTGGTAGAAGATGTGACCCTAGGTAAGTCTCATCATCGATCCAGTGGATTACCTTTTTTTCTCCTTTAAGTCATTTCTGTGAATTAAACGCGAATCCTCACGTCTCAGCAGAAAGCACTGATGGCGCTGGAGACGTTGAAGAGGAAGAGGATGAAGAGTTTGACTGGCAGGTGGAGCAGGAGGTCTACATGGAGAGATCTGAGGAGGAGCTGGGAGCCCTCCAGAAGTACGGCTTTGGCAATCAGAGATCCGGAGTATTCGCACGACTGCAGGTAGGATCAACGGAAAGATGTCCGTTGCGAATTCGACCCCTTTTGAAAAGTTTACGGGAGAATACAGGAGTTTGTCTGCGATAAAAGGTGTGTACGTGCCGACAGGAGGAGCTCTGTGATGTGATCGACATCAAAAACCCAGAGGGAACGTCAGCGGCAGAGAGGCGGCGGGCCCGGCTCCAAGCGGAGGCATCGGCTTTCTCTCCTGACCATTACTTGTAGGTTGTCTTATTTCAGGAAAAATCTATCGTCCTCACTCTCCTGTGCCCCGCTCACACACGTCTGTCACCAACAGGGCGGACTTGTTTGAGGATGAGGAGATAAAGGGGCTGCTGAAGTTCAGGCCGTGGTGGGCAAAGCTGACCGCCTCTTCAGAAGAGGACGGAGAGTCGGGTGAGTTCACGTCCAGAGGAATGCAAAAATACCCCCCGAAACCAAGTAGCTGTTCGGAAATAAGAGCCGTGTGCAGCTCTTGGTTCTGCTGGTGCTACCGTCGGTCATCCAGCTTTTACTGCTGCGCCCATAAGGAGGGGGCTTTCTGTTTGGTGCCCGAAACACTGATGGTTCAGAGGTTTCTCCAGAGGTGTGGGTGGGAAGTTTTTCTGCAAGGAGTCTGGAGAACACATTGCACACGTCTGCTGCCTCAGATGCCACCCTTCCGGAACATTTCAGAGCCCCAGTGCACGTGTGAAAACGGCTTAAAGTGCAACTGAGCAGAAGGGCAGCTGCTATTGCAGTTCTGTGTTGCACGAAGTCAGTTATATCTAAAAGAAACCTTGAAAATACTTAGTAAGAACAACTGGAAGTAATGGCAAAGTAGTGACTGGAGGCATATGCGAAGCGGAAGAAAGCCTCCATTCCTCTTTTATTGTTCCCAGTGGAGCTGTTTAAGTCCCTCCAGGATATTGCCATGAATGGGAAACTTTTAAATACAGAGCTACAAGCGGGAAACCGATATCTGGCCTTTCTATCCACCCGACACTGACACGGATCCTCGACAATGTGTCAATGCCCAGAGGACAGGCAAGTCTTTTCCCTGCCCCTCTTTAGCGGAAAGAGACATCAGCTCATTTGCCGCTAAGCCGCACTCTCAGCTAAAGTGCCGCGGGGCTCTTCAACGGTCGAGACACTTTGCCATTATGGGGAGGGATTGACCTTCCTTAATCATTACATCTCTCCACTGCCTGTCGGCCAATTGAAACAAGTACAGATTCTCAGACAGCGGAGTGGGTCTTTATTTCCCTTCAAATTCAGCTTCTTTTTCCCCCGGTCAATTCCCATCCGCTCGAAATCGGTGGGTTGTTTACGTGGACGTGGCAGGTTTTTGCACATTTCATCCAATGTGGCGATAACACCAGCCCGCTAATTCCAGCCCTTCCCACCGTTTAAGCGTGCGCACGGCCCCCAGCTGCAGGACGGGGGATTTAGATGAAACGGATAGCATTATCACAGGAGGGGGAGGTGGTTTTTTTAGCCGCTCGAGGGGCCAGACCGCCGCCGAGTGGCCGTCAGTCAGCCCATTAGCCGCCGTCTGATTCCAGCCTCCGAGGAGCATTACGGTTCCCCGCAGCCCTCTTCCCTCCTCCCTCTCTCTCCCCGCTCCGCATTCTAAGACAGAGCGGCTCAGTCGGGAGCCCAGGCGTAGATAAATGGGCTAAATTAAACTTAATGGCTTGATTGACAGCTGGAGTAGCGTGAGCCGCTGCTGAACGGGAGGAATGGCGTCAGTCAGCAGATTTAAGCTGCTCGCTGTCAAATCTTGAAAGCGTGCTCACGGCTTTAACTGATGGCTGTATATTTCAAAAGGAGAACCAGAAGACTTTTATGTGGGTTTAGATTCCCTCCCGCCTCTCTGCTAAGCCTGACATGCATGTCACCTGACAGATGGATGTGGTCACAAGTGCTAATGAAGTAGGAGTCGAGGCCCCTTTGTGCCAGTCCCTGTCAGGGCCAGCCCGACCACAGGCAACAGCTGTCCTCCGGAGGCCCGTGTCAAAGCACTAAACCCTCCTGACAGCGCAGCCTCTCCATCAGCTCCGCTTAATCACGGACGTCTGACGTCCGACCAGCTCTAATCATCCTCTGCCGACGGACACTGCCTGAGTTTACGGACTGAGCCGGCCGTTCGTGAAACGCACGAGACGGTCGCGGTGCGATCACGCTCTGGCTTCCTGCGCCCGGTCGCGGTCCGAGAACGCGTTCCAAAGCCTCAGCGGCACTTCGGAGCCTCTTCCGCTCCTCGCCACCTGGCCGTCTGGACCTGCAGAGAGTAGCAACGAGCCAACTGGAAGAATCAGGTCAGAAATTAATTTTCCAATCACAGGAAGCCCCCGCAGCAATGCCCACTGGAGTCTATTGGCTGCACGGTGGAGACGAACGAGCATGATGGCAGATAATATCAGTTCCGGAGGGTAAACGGAATAGACTTTGGGCATATGTCGGTCTTGGATGAGGGTCAGCGGTCTGTCGTTGAGTCTGTGAATGAAAGTTGTCTTTGTTGAGGGAGCAGAAAAGGCCACGGCCATTTATGATCAACACACATGCTTTTTGTAAACATCAAAGTGTTGAGTTATGAAAAGATGTGCAAACAGGCCTGGAGAAGGATGGCTGTCAGTGAAGGCTTATTAACAGCCACCCTTCCATTGATGAGGCTTCATTGATGGTCCAGATGCTTCTCTCGGGTCCTGTGTCAGCTCTTTACTTGAGTCCTCGTTGTTCATCACTTTCAGAGGAGAAACTGCTCATGAGCTTTATTTATTTTTGACTGACCACTTCTTTAGTCCTCCACTCTCCCAGTTTCTACTGATTTGATGATGCACTTCACAGTGTGCCTTGAGCTACGCACCTTTTAGTATTCTTTATGATTCATAAGTCAATGTAGAGAGGCTTAACAAATAAATTGGCAAAAAATTGTCTTGTGCAAGGACTCAACTTAAAATAAGTGATAAAGTGGCAAAGAAAAGAAAAAGGACTAAAAGATCCTCAGACAGCTTGAAGAATTACTGCTCAGGAACTTTTTTCAAAGATAACAAAGTTTGGCTGCTCAAAAGCCAAATACACAGAAACGGTTTGAAATACAAGCTCACCATATGTATATATATATAAACGCTCTCTTTACTCCTACAATTTCAGACACGAAGACTTTTTGCATCGTGGAGTGTTTGCGTATGTGTTAGGGAGAGGCTTCCGATATCTCTGCAACTGCCTTGATAAGACCAAGGACTGGTTCTCGGATTTTGAAGGGAGCGTTTGAAGGAGCCGGCGTGCACAAACGGGCGCAGCTCTCCGGTGTCCGCTTGGCTGCGCTCTGCCTCTCTGCAGCCGCGGCGACCGGCCGGCTCAGGTGGCGTCCGCAGGGAGATGGAAAATGACGTAATGCCCCCAGGAATCTCCTTCGCCAGCAGAGAGCGGCTCCCACTGCAGTGAGATGTGGAGCGCGTGTGTGTGTGCGCGTGTGTGCGTGCACATCGGGGGCTCAGAGCGGGGGACTCTCCTCCTCTCAAGCAGGGAGAAGAATTGCTCTCAGCTGTGTGCTAAGCTGCTGGGAGGGGGAACACGGCACAGTCGGGCTGGAGCGCATCACCGCAGACATCCAGCACGCCTCCCAGCGCCCAACGACGCAGATTGCTTAAATGGGATTGAAGTCTGTTTGTGTCGCCTCATTAGGCTCGCCACAGATCCCCATTAGGCTAATGTGTCTTACAAAAGGCAGCTAATGAATTTCAAAGCATTGAGGTGATATTTTCCCCCTTTTTCTTTCACACGCGGACAGTTTTTTTTTTCTCCTCTCGCGAGTGCAGTTCAGCTGTCAGATAAGCATAAAGACCACCAGTACAGCTTATGATCTTTAAAGAATTTAAAAGCGGTTTGGTTAATGCGGCTGGTGCTCTTCACACGCGCCTCCAAAGGGAGCGTGCTGCTCGTTTGCAGCAGACTTGCACTTAATTGGCTGACAGACGGTTGCACTTGTGTGAAGCCGTGAAATTCCATCAACCAGATGAAGAGTTTGACTGGGAAATGTCTACAACGAGGACTTGTCTGTTTTATGCATAAAAAATGACCCTGTGTTCTTTTTAACCCCTCGGCAAAATAGAAAAAAAACTTTTAAGAAGAAAAAGAATGATGTTCTAGACAGGACATCAGACAATAATCATTTTTTTATTCAGCTTTGTTTTTTTAATGAGCTGTCTTTTGTGCCTAACAGACTAAAGAAAAATCCAGTCAGATTTGACTAATGAATAATGAGCAACTCCGTCTTTGTGTCTGCCCGGATGCTTTGGGTTAAAAGAAAAGCCGTTTTCATGCATGAGCGCCAGATTTTTCTTCCCAACTGCCTCCAGCATGTGCCGACAGCCGGGTCACCAACGCTGTTCACACGTTCACTTCACCTCGGGGGCTCTTCCTCTGGAGGATGCGTTCTCACAGCTTGAAGTATTGCAGTGACGTCTAGACGAGGTCGAGGTCCTCTCTCGCCTCTCATATCTTTACATATTTCCAGGAAAAGGAAATGAAACTGGTGCTGTAATTTATTCAAGGATTTGCAGACGGTACGGTTAGTCGGGCCACTTAACTTTTTTATAAGCTTCTTTATTCTTCAGTACAAACTGAACCCCATTTGACAAGCTCTCTATCATTTCTTTAAGTCTTCTTGGAGGACCTTTGCTGCCTTTTGTTCTCTTCTCTTTCATTACTGACCCCACACTGCTTCAATAATATTGAGGTCCAGGTGAGGATTCAGCCCTCCATCTGACCTGTTGCCACTGATTTTCAGTCCTCTCTGCTCTAAAGAATTACTTCTTGACAGCCACCATTCCATTTCTCTGTTAAGTGTTGAAAGAAAAGGACTGGAAGTAAGTGAAAAGGCAGCCAGTGTCTTATGAAAAAGCCTGGGGAACTGTTGCTCGCAGCCAGTTTGGACAAACGCAGTCTGAATCAAGAATTGCGCACTGTTTTTTTAATAGAGGACGTGCACATGGTGTCATCAGACCTGGTACAGACATGGGGCTATACTAAGTTTAACCCTAAGCGACGGCCATCTCAAAGTCTGTGAACCGTTTGACGACTAAGACACAACAAACTTAAATGAAGTTGACAAGAGCTAGCCTGCAATCGACAGTATGAACGAATTCTGAAATAAGTCAGGTGTTTTGTTTTTATAAACTTACAAAAATGAAAAAATTAAGACTTTTTTTCTCCCCCAAAAAGTCTAAACAGGCGGCTTAAACACAGTCCTGATGAAAAAATTTACATTTTTCCAGCACATTTAACATCATTAAACCTTATGTAATATCTTTTGTCAAATTGATTCTAGTTCTTTATTTCAGATGAGCTTCACTCGTTGGACCTCTGATCCATCAGGTAGAGTTGGCACAGCCTCCATATCAGTGTCTCTAGCATTCCGTTCATTAGTACACAACAACATACTCATGGCATTCTACCGTAAATCCTCTCGAGTATTTGTTGGTGTGTTAAACCATTTGCTGATCTTCTGAACTTCTGAGTAAGTAGCAGGAAGATAATCCTCACAGGGGGTCAGAAGTCAGTGCCACGGGCATTTGCATTCCCATTTGCAAGCTCTCCCGAGTATCTCTTTAAGGTTTTCAGTCATGCAACAGGTTGCAGCCTCGACCCTCGGCTTAGCTCAGAAACATGCCTAGTTATGTATTTTATCAGCTTGTTAGAAAAGGAATTAAGTCTGTGGTTGTGCTCTGATCAGGTTGCTGAACAGAAAGCGTGAAAACAGTCTTAAAAAAGGGCTCTTCGTGTATGTTAAGAATCATTTTAGAGATCAGTTTTTGCTTGTATAGTGTGGATTTAATCCTGCATTGTTGCAGTCTGGTGCAGTTAATAAAAAACGGCGCTGTAGTTTTTATTGCTTTACAGATGAGGTTACACTGCTGTATATCTGTGACAGTCTTTATGGTCTTGTGAGATTTCGAGACCGGGCTTTAATTTTACGGGACGCATAGGAGTGTCTCTGAATCCCAAACTCAAAAAACAGTAAAGAAAATCCCGAGTTCTTCCTGATATCATCCCTTTATATGTAAGCGTGTGTAACCCAACACATTGTTATGCAAGAGGAAACGGCATGCATCTCATATTTATCCAGCTTAGCGTGGACGCGGTCTTAAAGACTTATGGCACTAAGCCTGCTTTGATTAAGCTGTTTATCCTGCAGTGAAACAGTGTGCCTTATTATCTTGATACATGCCGGATTCGGTGTTTATTTGAGCTGAAAATAATTTCTTTATTTATTTATTTGTTTTTTTCACCTGGAGCTGAAGAGCACTTTTAGGTTTGGAAAGTCGTACGCGGAAGCCTACGTGTGCACTAAAGCGCCTGCCACTCCTCCTCACCTCAGCTTAACCACTGTGGCCGCCTCTCACACCCACAGCTGGATTTTTTTTGCAGTAAAAACCCTCTGCTCTTTACCGTTAAGAAAAAAAAAATCCCTTGTTCTCTTTCAGCCGTGGCGTTCACCGAGGCAGAGAAAGAGCAGCTGAGAAAATTCACAAACCGCTCCTACCTACTGGACAAGACCTCCCGTTACCAAGCGTGGCTCGGCCTTGTGGACGTCTTGTTGGCTTACTCCTATGAAGTGCGCTGTACAGAAGGGGAGCACAATGTGAGTGTGTGTGTGTGTTTGTGTGTGTGTGTGAAGAGGCACTCCTCCTGAGCAGTACTTACCTCGGATGACAAAGCCCTCTATCCTCGCATCCTTTAGGCCCCCCTCCATTTTCTTCAGAGCGTTAAGAGATTACCAGCAGATTCCAGAGCTCAATGTGGGCCTCTTTGTGTCACATCTCTTGAGATAGCTGCAGGTGAAAAAAGGTAGATTCAGTTCAACCCGACACAGCTCTCCTTAAATTTAAAAAAAGGGAGGGAAAAATGGAGAAAATGGTTATTTAGGTTTAAAACATCATATTATGTCCATGACAAAACAACAAGCCACCTCCTTTATTTCAAAAGCCAGTCTTAACTTAGCCAAACTCTGAGTTCCATACTTTCAGAAGTATGGTCACACTTTACAGTGCTGCCTGTTTCTCGTTTATTGCTTGCTATTCTTGTGTCACTGTTGCAATGACATGCGGTTGCCACATACCCTGCAGGTGGAGTCACCGTGGACCATCAGAAAACTCAGCGGGACTCTGTGCTGGCTGGAGGTCAGTTTTTACACATCCGATGTGCTAACCTCATTTCCAAAATAGCATTGTGGTGCTTTCCAATGTCCAAATAAAAACAACCATAAAACTGTAAAGCAAACAAGCAAATCCACTTTATACACTAGGAAGACGGTTCTGGAAGATTCTTTAATCAGCAGATTAAATAATGAAAGGTAAGGGTGTCAGGGTCAGGTATAAAAGGTGCATCTCCAAAATTGAGTCTTTAAAGATTTATTGATTTAAAGACTTTTCTGCTAAGCTCAGTCAGTTTCCTGATGTTTCAAAGTTAAAAATGAGTCTAAAAAAGTAAAAAATTAGCCTACATACTTGCAAGCGTGCATTGTTATATAAGGTTTTGAGAACAAATGTCACTGTTGTGACAACTGAGAACTGCATTTCATGAGAAATCATCTGACCCTGGTCAGCTTGAATAACACCGTCCCCGAAACAACGGAAACAGTTGTACGAAAGGAGGAAGCTGCTTGTGCAGAAGTGCTACTGAGCTTATCTCAGATGGACAGAAAGCTGGTGGACACATGAGCCCACGTCTTCGCAGCTTGTAAAACTGCCAATCTTATCATTTACATAAACAGACACAGGAGGACATAACAACAGTTGGTATATTCTTTCCCTATAGTTGACAAAGTGTAATTAACAGCAAGGCTGTTTGCACAATCGTAAACATGCCTCTGACCTGAGATTTTTCAAATGTCTAATACACACAAACTGTTCTTCTTCACTGTTACAAATGTTTGGTATTCTTCCCTGCATCCAGGCTTCTTCTCCCCACTACCAGTACTCTTTGTTTAAAAAAAGAAAGAAAAGACAAAGCTTGTTTCAAAAGAATTCCTTGAAATTGCCTTTAGAACATTTTCGAAATAGGATTGAAAGGACAAACAGTATCCTATTTCTTTTGGAAGTGAATTTCCAGCTCACGTTGTAGCCGAGGTGCAGTCACATCTGTTGCAGGTATCACTTAATCCGAAGCCATAAATCAATCTGAAATCCCGGCTGACATCTTAATGAAGTTTGCATCGCTTCTGTGTCTTCAGACACAGACAGGTGCTCAGGTAGTGTGGATCCAAACCAAACAGCTTCCTGCTGCCCACAGGGCTAAAAGCTGCCAGCATCTGTGGTAAATAGGGTCCCAGAGCCCATATGAATGAATAATTTTGGCCCCCGGAGCCTCCTCGTTAGGAGACGGGTGCGCTGGTGGGATCACAAGCTGCCGTGAGAGCTTGACCGCCAACTGAGACGTGGATGTTTTCTTCCCGTGGTGACAGTGAAGCAAAGAGGAGACCCCCGCCTGCCTGGAAGCCTTCTTACTGCCTGTCAGGCAGTCAGCAAAGCTGTCAGCTCCCATCAGCGCAGCACCTCGCCCAGTTACCCCACCGCCCCTCCAGCTCCGCCTGCTCCTCCTTCTCTTCCCTCCTTAATCGCCTCCACAATAGGCTCCTCTCCATCTCCGACTGGCAGTCTGTCTTTGTGTCGCTGCCGATATCAGCCATTCCCCCCTCCTTCAACTATCTCTTTTTTCACTGTCTCACTGGCTGTCTCTTCCCCCCCGCGCATGCTGGACATTCCCCTTTCTTTTAGTCCTTTCCCCCTCGCCCAGCCTACCCTCCCTTACCCGTTACCGAGTCTTCCTCCCCACCCGCTCCACACTTCGGCTAAACAACCCCAGGGGGCAAGCGTGCTCCGGGTGACATGCCCTCACCAGCTCACGGCACATCCCAAAGAGAAGGGAGGGGGAAGAAAGGCCAGATAAATATCCATTTGCTCCTCCAGGCCTTGTGTCCATTAAAGCAAGAGAACATCACAAAGTGATTAAGGCAAGGCAGCAATTAACAGGCCAGAGCTGCCGAGGTGTTAAAGAGTCGTAAGCCCCCTTTTTACGCTCCGCTCAATAAAAGAGTCGCTGTCTGGAGTAATTAGATCAAGCAAACCTGCACACAAGCGAAAGTTTAGCACTCGGCCCGTGACGAAGAGGGCGCAGCTAAAAATCGTTGTTTTTTTGCCAGCATGACTACTTTATAAAAGACGTTTCCTGTGTCCCGCAGACGTACAGCTCCCTGCACGAGGTGCTGGTGTCCTTTGGGAGGAGGGCCGTGTGCTACCCGCTGTTCAGACACTTTGCTCTGGTCACCGCTGCAATTTGTGACACCGCAAAGATTTTGAAGTCAGGTGAGTTCTTAAACTTTATAATAAACCTTTTCTTCTTTTTTTTTTTACTTTTTCAAATGAATATTTATATTCACCCTAAAAAAATGTCTATCTTGACAGCTGTTCTAGTCAAGTAGTCAGGATATAATCGATCAGTATTTGTATGATCAATTTAGCCAAGTAGTGTAATTTTTGCTCTGATCGTTGTCACCATTGATTGTCCAAGTTGTTATCTCTGAATGGTCTCATTACGATAGTCTGAGCTTTGCCGCTCTGTAACGTGCGCTCCCATTCATATAAAAGCAAAGCTGGGTGGGAAAACAGCCCGCTTGGATCAAAGGACTTTAATTACACCAGGCATTGTAAAGGCTTTTATTTGGATTTGGAGTCCGACATAAAAGTGGTAGAACCTCCGGCGAATGGATGGAGTACGGATCGCTTACCCACTGTAACAGCTGGCACGGAGCCTCGGAGCTGGTCAGTTCTACCACTGTGCTGCTTTGTGGAGCTGACCAGAATCCCCTTCAAAGGAACTACTCCGATCAGCCTGTGCAGTAGTCGGTAACAGCCCTTAATGCTGCTGAAAGCTAAAGACACGTTCTCAGAAATCCTGTTTTACACCTCATCTGTTTAATTACACCTCACTCTTCCACACTTACAACAATCTGTGGATGTTTGTCAGTGTCCTGTTTGTGGGTTTTGTGGTTTTTGTGTTTTTTTGTGGCGAGTGAAATTCAGCCTGATTTCTCTCCACTCTAAACACATGCTCTCGGCTCATCGCCGCTAATTGATTCTACCCACCCGGCAGTTTCTCTCTGGGTTTTTGTCACATGTTAATGGGTTTAAGCACGTGCAGTCAGATAGAATCTGCCGCCTGTTCGGGAGCAGCCACAGAGAAAGCGCTCTGTCGGCGTGCCTCTGACAGTAATATTCGAGAGGGTAGCAGTGGGGCAGAGTCCCCCACGCTCCGGGGAAACCAGTCCATGGATTAGTCGAGAGCAGCCTGTTGACTCTGACACTTTGAATCCCCGAGTAATCTTTCAATCAAAAGCCCCCCCTCAGACAGCCGAGAATCAGGAATGTAAACATAACTCGGGACGCGCGAGGGGCCAAGATTATCCAGCCTGTGATGGTTTGAGCACTGGTAAATGACGGCAAATTAAAGGCCCGTTAAGCCGCAGATTAGCATTTCCTCGCCTCATTAGGAAGGGAAGATGAGCTGATCGGGGCAGCGAGGGAGAGAGAGCACTCGGTGGCTCCTTCCCTCTCACCTTCCTCCTCCTAACAAGAGCCAAAGTGTCCGTACGGCTCAGAATGCATCAGCCCGGAGCGCCTCTCTGCCTGTAAACTGCCAGATGCTGATAAAGGGCCCGACCGTCCCTGCCAAAGCTTGTCGCTTTGTTTTTTTTTTATGTCTCAATTTCACCTCCTGCCAACATAAGCACAACAAGCATTACGGAAGGATGACTAATGGGGCTTTTCCTTAACGAACTGTAACTATACAGACTAAATGATTTATCTTTAAGTTGCTGTAAAAAAAACAAAAAAAACGCTCGTAGGTATTAACCAAACAAACCCATTAGTGGGCAGTACACAGGTTAAAGCCGTGAAGGGAGTGTTAGCTGGCGGTAAATATTTGAACAGCCCTAGGGCCGTGTGGGGAGGAATCTGAAGGAGCTCCTCCACCTGCCTCCGAAGAGGCTGCGAGTGAGAGGCAGAGCGCCCGAGGGGGGACTGGACTCTGTCATCATCTTGCCGCATGTCCAGGCCCCGTGGGCTCTCTCTGTTCTCAGTCATTCCACTATCTTTCCAAAAATCCCAAAAATATTGAACCGCTTCGGAGGATTTTGGGTCAATTCGACCCTGACCCAGTTAAAGATAATCAGCGGAGCGTCGTGGAAATTTTCCCCCAAGCTCGGGGAGGTTCAGAGGTGCTGATTCTTTTATATTGGATTTGCTATTCTTGCATCCGTGAATAAGAGGGATGGATGGAGGGTTAAGGTGCATCTGACTTAAATCGCTGCCCGTCCTTCAAGCACATCATCTTCTCTCACAAAACGAGGTCAACACCAAACACTACGCTCACACACATTTTTTCCTTTCACGCTCGACACAAACTCTGCACGGATGCAGTATAGTCAGCGTTTGATGGATGCGAGACGGTTTTGGGCTTCTGGAGCTTTTCCTTAGCTGTGTGTAGTCTTTTGAGCCTCCCCGACACTTTGCACCCCCCCCCACTGGGAGCAGAGGCTAAAACAAAGCAGCAGGGAGGTCAGTTACCCCCAAAGTGGACTTGGGAGCAGCCAGCTTGGATTTGTTTCATCTTTCACCACAGATCTGCCATGCTCGTGTGCACAAACTTGGCCGAAGATGCAAGCGAGCCGTGGCGATCGAATCTGTTTTGCGCCCAGTGATGTTAAGCAAAGAGCTTGGCGGATTCTCTCTGTGGCTTGACTGTTTGGAGATTGCACACAAACATCAAAAGGGAATTATTTTTCCCCCTCTCCAGACTTCATTCAAATTCCTCTCCTTGAACTGGGCAGATTGCCTTTGCAGCTTCTCCTCCGCCAAGCTTTTGTTGCTGTGTTTGTTGTAATCTTCCTCTGAATTTCTCCCCCCCCCCTTGTGTCACTGAGACCATATACATTCACCCCCTATCTGGGCCAGTATTTATTTATCCAATAGTCCAAAAAGGGGCTTCCTGTAACCTCGCATCTCTGATAAGAACCCCTTAAGTGACGTATCTAAGTATCTAAATGATGTCCCAATCATCCCCAGTCAGCTCGGTAACCCCTCGGCTTTACATGTCTTATTTTAAACAAATCAGGCTTAAAGCTCTTTAAATTGTCAGCTATCTGTACCCACTTTGAGTTCAACACATTTCATTCAGAACTGCATATCACAGGTTAATGACTGTTTAAATGTTCTATTTTTGTCAACCGATGATTTACTGGTTAGGTGATTACATGTTTTATTTTAAAGATCATATGCCTAGATCACGAAGCTTTATATAACTAACCAAATGGAACAGAAAAAAGCAAAGTCTGTGAATTTTGATTAGCTGCTCTACTGTAGATTTTTGTTTTCTTGGGCTTCCTCATAAAGAATACACAGCAGCCTTTTGTTTGTGGTTTGTGCTCTCCTCTCTTTGCTCAGCTATTCCTTCCTGTTCATTGAGCAGCAGAAGTACTAACATTTCCTTTATACGACATTTTTCCCCCACTTGATTTCTTACTAGACAAACTCACCATGGGGTTTCCCCCCCTCCTAAGTGATACTCGCTGTGAAAAACCAGTGCAGAGATCAACCTTCCCTCCAGTTTAGCGCCAACGGAGGAAATTCTGCATCCTCCCTCTGAGAAACAGTCAATTCTTGGACAGAAACTGTGTTTTCGCCTCGTACGATCCAAGTCCTGACTCTTCAGGGCCGAGTTCCCCACATGTGATCCCATGCTTCAAACCAGAACCAAATGTTTGCTTAAGGTTTTCCCCACTCTGAGAGGGCTGTTTATTTAGACTGGTCTGGAATGTGTCTGGACAATGCCAGCCAGCTCTGTGGAGGTGGAGAGGATCACTCTCTCCTGCCCTCTGTGGATCGCTGGCCACATCAGAGGGGCTATTTATACGCCCGATTGTGGAGAGATGCTCTGGCGGTTGCGCCTGGTGTGTACAGCGGGGGGAAAAGTGTCGGAGTTAAAGAAGCCGGTTCTGTGTGGTGCATGTGTGGCAGCAGGCTGACGAAAGACATGTAAGACACATGTAAAACGCTGTAAAACACTGGTTTTAGCATCCCTATGTGAACATACGCGCTACTAGAAAATTGGGTCTTTATCGTCATCTTTTTGGTGTTCTTTGTTTTAGCTTTATTTATTTTATTATTTTGACAAAAACTGATTTGCACATTTCACCATATAATATATGGCAATGATAATCGATGTCACAATGCTTAAAAAAAAACATCTTTTTTTTTTTTTAAAGACTCACAATTTATGTTTGTGGTTACTCATGCCACAACTGTATTTTAGGCTGATTAACATTTAATGATTCAAACATCCCTTAATAGAAATACCTAAACTTCCCAGGAGGATAAGTTTAAAAATCTGTTCATCTTTTTCATGACCTCAAGGTAGGCTGAAGCCAGAGATGGACAGATGTTTATCTGGAAGTAGAGATCTGTTCTGGTCTGTCGTGGTGAGGAGGAAGCTGAACCTAAAGGACAGGCTTCCGCTTTGTTCCAGCCATCGTGTATGGTCACAGCATCCTGCCAAAAAATGGGGCTGTGGACACGAGCAACTTCCTCCGGAGGCTTGGCTCAGCCCTTAGAGATGGGGGGGAAGGAGCTCGGTCGTCCAATGAGAACACAGAGCAGAGTCACTACTCCTCCACATCAGCAGCAGTCAGCCCAGATGGTTCCGGAGGGAATTCATATCCCTCCTGGCCTGGGAATGTCTTGGGACCACCAGGAGGAGCCGGAGAGTGCCGCAAGGGAGAGGAATGTCAGGATCTCTGTCCTGAACCTGTTGCTTCGGGATGGATGGATGGATGGATGGAATTTTAGGCTTTTTAAACAAAAACATGCTAATGGAAAATATCACTTGGTTGCTGAAGAAGACACAGCAAGTCAATGCCGTCAACAGGTTCAAAATTCTTTTAAGCTAGCCAGTCCACACCATTACAATCCATTTCCTTGTCTGCTTTTTGCCAAATACTTCGGCTTTGGCTTCTTTAACTTTTTCCACCTAAATCCTTCAAAAGAATTATGTGGAAACGTGACATTTCCGTTCATTTCACGCAGCTGTTTTCCTGCAGCCAGAGACAAATGTGGCCTACTCTTCCACTTGTGATCAGACTATCTCGAACCAAATATAAGCCAGGTTTGTCTGTGTGGAAATGGATATTAGTATGAAACAGAAAAGTCTGAAAGTGTAAGTCATTGGTCACTGTTGTATAAAGAGTTCACGGGCAATCCCGGCCAAATGCTGCCGACTGGTAGAAATGCATCAAATCGGCTTTTGACTAGTCAGTTTTTTCAAGTCTATGCAGAACCACCGTGAAACTAACAGCAGAAGGCTGTCAAATAGGCTTTCATTGGCTCTTTTGTCCCAAATACACCTCTCCCTCCAACCACATAGATCAAATCACTCCGCCGCACGCTGGGATTTCCCCCTCATCCTTTACCTAGGCTTTTATGTATGGAACAATGACTGTAAGCCTTTATGGATTCTGCATCTGCCAGCTGTTTGAGCGCGTTGACATCCCGAACGCCGAGCCGGAATAACACTGTTTTTCCGCCTGCCGGTGCCCAGGGAAAGCCTGCGTCCTCAAGTGCCTGCTGGACCTGCACAAGATCTTCAGAGAGAACGACCCGGCCTACATACTGAACGACCTGTACATCACGGACTACTGCATCTGGATCCAGAGGGTCAAGTAAGTTCCCCAGCACACACACAAATACACACACACACACGTGCGTCTGGAGGCTGTCATCTGTTGGAAATCAGAGTCGGAGCCGTGGGAAGCGCAGATATTCCCCCCCATAATGCATCGCTGCCTCGGACGAGAGCGTCAGAGGAGTCATTTGACACAGTGGGGCACGTCCACTGACCGAGCCAGCCTGAGACGCGGCCTCCATTATCGCGTGTGGCAAAAGGGGCACCCGCAAGTTTGGGAAGAGCCAGCAGCTCTCCTCCAGATTCACCCCGGATGGGTGGAACCTCCCATCAAGGCAGCGAGCCAAGCCTGCGAAATCTGCTCTTGATTCCCAGATGATACAGGTCCAGCAACCCCCCCCCCCTTCTTAGTTCATATTTAAAGATTGCTTACACATTTCAAATGCGACCCTGCGAGCGCATTTCTCTGTAATGAGCTCTGCTTTACTCTTGGCCGGGGTTCAGCCGAGTGGTGCGCCCGTCTGGAAAAGAGCCCAGTCGAAAAATGCGCGCCTGATGTTGTAGGCTCGGCGCCCAGATGCAGACGCGATAAAAGGTCTGCAGGGATTCGGTGCGGAGTCCCCTCCCCTTCTCACTACCCCCCCCTTTTTTTTTTACCACCAGAAGTCTTGAATTCCGCTCTAAAAATGTTTCGGATTACGCCGGAATGCAAGGAATCGGCAGAAGTTTAGAGTTTAAGACATCCCTCTTTTTCCCGAACACAGAGGGAAGACACTGACTCTGAGCTGCTGAAATCCTGTCGGCTGGCTGAAAAGCTCCAATCCGTCTCCAAAGCGCTGCTTCTATCCCCCCCCCCGCCGCCGAACAAGGGGCTCAGTGTCACCGTCCCACGCCGACTCCAGCTACGCTCCGCATCGATCATTAAACGGATCAGCCCTGACCTTCCATTGCGTCGCTACATCTCTCTTTGATAAAGACCGGTTCCCTTTATCACCTCTTACTATCAGCAGCTGCCACGCTGTGAGAAAAGCCATCCGGGATAAACGGCTTCCATCACTTTCAGCCGCCACAAAGTGAAACCGAGCGTGTCGAGCCGCTTTCCTTTTACAGCGTGTGCTCTTTGGCTCCCGTGCCAATAGGAAAAAGAACGAAACCACCTGATTCTTAGCAGGTATGTCAGTAGGGTCGATGCAACTCCAGACGAACAGTGCGACGCAGTTAATTTCTGAATGAGATTTGTTAAAGTTGTCGAGGATGTTTGTTCATTGGGGTCCGCAACAGTTTATTTATTCCCAGCTCTTTGGACGGGGCTGTTGTGAAACCGGATTCTTTTCTTTTTCACTCCCTCAGTTATAGATTTGATGCTCTGTTTGAGAAGATTCTTTTCGGAAGCACCCCCCCCAAAAAAAAGCCACACTTGTTTGATCCTTTTCTGATTGTGCCATCATGACCTTTAGCATTTGACATGGTTCTTTGCTGTTTTTTTCTCTCTAAACGAGGTAAACTTGCATGGACGTCCACTCCTGGGAAGATTGACAGCTGTTTTTCGCTCATGAAAAATCTACCTCTGCAGAACTGAGGGATGGAGATGGATGGCAGCTATAGCTATTCCTGATGTCTTTCCTTCTCTGGCTTTGCGCTCCACATCTGTCGAGCTGCACACACCTGCCCCTGGCTGGCACTTTCCCTCTTAACTCAAACGGAAGCGGTGAGGGACAGGTTTTTGCGTCAGCGCTCGGGCATTTCGGCCCAGCTTTTGCTCCCTAAATCTTGGCCTGGTTTTAATATACACATGCTGTTGTTCAGCTGAGCTTGCATTTATCAGATTTTAAAACCAAGCTAGGAACAGGCGATTCAATTATTAATCCCCTATTTGCAAAACCTGAATTTTGCATATAGGGGTGAAAAAGTGAAAGATTTCTTTTCTTCTTTTACTCGTGGCATGACTGTGCGTCAGCATTGTTGCAAAGCTGATCCGGTTGCTCTCTTGGGCCACCAACAGTGTGGTTTTCTTCAGACTCTTGCCTACCGCGCATGTGGTGGCGGGCCTTTTGTGTTAGCGGACAGGTTGGACGACAGACCATGTAGGCATTGTTTTCCTCGTTTATTTTCCAGCGCCGAATATTCCCACGTGTAAGATCTGTGCCTCCTCTGCCAAGTGACTCATCTCTTGGAGCGCAGCGGTAAGATGAGATGTTATCTACACGCCAATTACGATCCATGTTTCCTGTCATTCCCCGCCGTCAACAAGGCAGAAGCGATCAGCCGCACATGACGGACACGCCGATTAATGGATTTTTTTTTTTTACTCTCGGTGGGGAGGCGGTGATTTATTCTATCTTCGAGCTGTCCCATGCGCCTTTCAGCTTCTAAAGTTCCCCCGACTGCCAAGATACCCCTTTCAAATTTACAGCCTCGTAAAGACTTCCTCATGATTTAAGTCACAGGGCAGGCGCTCTACTTTAGCCCGGACTCTCTGAAATCAAAGTGAGTCCACAGAGGAAATCTAGCCCCACGCTCCCTCAGTAATGGGGAGCTTTTGTCTCTTCTCCTGCTCACAGTGCTCAAAGCTCTGAAATCCTGCACACCTTTCCTCTTTAAACTTCACCCCGGCACACCTGTCTAATCATCATTATCCCTGAATTATCTCAAGACTGTAATTCAGAAAACACCAGCTGCCTCTCTGTTAGTTTCAGCTCCCGCTTTCATAGCCGCTCGGCTGCCAAAACCCCCGCAGAGCTGCTGGACTGCAAAAGGAAAATACGTTAGTCTGCTCACTTTTACAATCCCCCTCTTTTTTGGGGGGGGAAGCTTGGACATACGCCAGCGCAGATTCACAGCAGCCAGCTCTGAGCAGAGAGAGCTCATAAGACCGGTTTCGGGTTACACCGCCTCACCTAGAACAGAAGGTTTGAGTTCCTTCTCTTCTCTGGTTCACCTATCCCCCCCCCCCACCCCTCCCCACTCCATCCAAGTATGTTTTAATTGTGTCCGTAAGAATTTTGAGAGAAAGCAGGAGGTGTGGCTCACAGGTGGCGTGTTTAAGAGTCTCAGAGGATCGACTCTAGTGCTCATCTTCTCGAGCCACCCTTTAATTGTGTTTATTTAGCTTTCAAAGAGTCGGATTTTTGAAGTGCCATCGAACAGAAGGATTGTCTGAGGGTCTTTTCATTTTTCCCCATCTTTTTTTTTTTTTCCCTCTTTATTTTCAGTTCAGCCTCTGTGGCAAACCACAGAGGCTTTCAGGGGAATGTGTTGTCAGTCTGAACAGGCATATGATCACTTTATTCATTTCCATTTTTAGGTGCTAAATCAAACAGAATTTAACGGAGAGAAGATAGTATTGCCACACCAATAAGATGCTTCTCTGATAGCCTGGAATATCTCAGCGCGGCGTTCAGCCTTACAACCAGAAGAGAAAAAAAAACGGGAAACTGGACAAGTGGGGGATAAAAGAAAAAGCATTGGCTCCATTATTCACTGAATCCTCATCAGAATAGTCTCAATGGAAGGGAGGCTGTAAAGAGGCCATTGTTAAGGAATGGAAACGGGGGGGGGGCCTGGAGTGTATGGCAAATGACTCGAGAAGTGGACTGAAAATCAATGGCTGCAGGACTGATGGAAGGATGAGCCCCTAAGCCCAGCTCTTTATTTATCATTGTATACTTCTATGGATCACTACAGCTGTTTCCTTTTCTAGGCAAAAAAAAAATAAAAGATATCAGAGTGGCTCAAGACTTTTGCATAGTTCAGTAGTCATTAGGATAAACGGTGTGTTAGGGTTTCTCCCTATTGTGGAGGTAAATGTGTGAGCCGTCTTTGCTCTCAGGGAGTGGGACAATAACTCATCGCTCCACCGGCTGGAAAATTGACGAGCAGTGCTTTAGGGACAGTCTGAGCCTCGCACCACAACAGCCGAAAGGAACACCCGCAAATAATTGTGAATTGTAGGTGTGAAATGAGCGGTCCTCGGAAACAGCGGGCGTCGTTTTCTCCCCGTGTTTTCGCCACGCGAAATCGCTCAAACGAAATGCCGTTCCTTTTCTCCTTTTTCTTTTTCGTCTTCTCTTTTGTTAAGGGAGCACATCTTTATTTGTGGAACGAGCGGCAGCCCCTCCGCCGGGGGCGGAGGGAGGGCGGGGGGGGGGCTTCTCAGGGCAATGAGGTCAGGCAAAGGGGTCATGTGTTAGCTTAGGCCTGCGGTCAGGCGGCTCCACAGCTCTCGCCCACGGCCCCAAGCGCCCCCCCCTCCCCGCTCTGCCGAGCACGGCTGCTCTGTCCACCTCTGCAAATGCTGCAGTATCGCTGAGAACTGAAAAAAAAATGCCTCGGATCAGTCAAAGCGTCTATTACACTGAATTATACGCGATTCGTTTTTAGATATCCCGAGTGCAACATAACCTCTTGGACGCCCCCGTATTAAAATTTTACTACTCAGGGCGTGCGGTATTAAAAGCCCCCTCTAAAGATTGTCACCTTCCCCACCCAAACATCAGTCACAGAGATTATGAGACACCCAGGCGATTGTGGGGAAGGACTGCCACCAGCCCACTTCGCTCCGATGTCAGAAATGCCCGTCCATAAAGCTCCGCAACAGATAATGAAGCCGTTTGATCTGCCGTTGGCCTCAGAGAGGCCCCCGTCGGGAAGAACAGAGAGACAAATGTCACCCGGCTAACAAACAGAAGCGGTACAGATTTCCTCCCAGCATGGAGTCGCGACAGATTTTGCCTCAAACCCACGGGCTCGCAGAATTCCTCCCCCACCCCCCAATATCTGGAGTGCACTCCAGCTAATGGAGTTGATTACAGCGTGTTTTCGTGTTGTTGCCGCTTCAAAGGCTGGCACATCTGCAGGGAGGCGTGTCAAATGGGGATGAACACTTTTAGCTTGTCCCTAAATCGGAGAAACGAGCAGCACATGTTAGCGGCGTAACACGGAGCAGAACAAGCGGAAAGGGATTGAATGAATCAGAAGGTGAGCGGAGAGGGAAGACACCAGCCCGGTTTGCAGAGAAGATCTCAGGATACCAACAGCGGAGTGTGGCTCGGCCCAGAAACTCTGGAAAAAGATTCTACCCCGATACGAGACCAAACCCAACCGAATCACGTGGACAAACACTTGATAAGAGGATCTAGCTTGACTTTTTAATTCTAATAAGACGAAACGCAGAAGGAGAATATCCTTTATTCCTCTTCATAATTCATGTTGACTTACCCAAAACGCCACAGAGAGAAGGTGTCAGGCAAACCACAGTTTAACAATATAACGAAACCACTCATTTAGAGGAAAACACCCAAATAAGCGAAGCCCAGAGGTTTTTCATCATTTGCTGTAGTTCAGAAGAAGATTAACAGCCCACAGCAATGCTGGAAGCTGCTAGGGGCTGGACTTAGCTCTTGTCCTTGTCGAGCGGGGTTTTTTGTTTTTTTTTTAAAGATTTTTTTGGGCTCTAGTGGCCTTTAATGACAGTAGCTTGACAGGAAGGGGGACAGAGATAGAGAGGGGGAGACCTGCGGGAAAGGGCCATGGGCTGGATTCGAACCCAGGCCTCCCGCTTGCGAGCAGAGGCTCTGCATATGGTGCCCGCTCTAGCCATTAGGCTAGCTGCAGCCCAAGGGCTCCAACTTCTTACAGCGAAACGCAACGTTCATCCGTCAATGTAACACGCCCTAAATCTAGAAATCTGTAAGTCGTCTAGCAGGCATGTCAGATTCCTTTCATTTGCCGTGAGGAGCCAGATACTTCTGAATGCAACCATCCGCCGAGGACTCCGGCAGCCGTTTCCATCAGGGGGTTTGTTCCCCTTTTCCGCTCCCATTCATCCCGAATTCACTTTGTCGCTTTGGCGTATTGGCGTCTGTGACGAGGTCGATTCACAGGCCGTTGCCCGCTCTTGCATCAGCCTCTGATCCCTCCGTTTCACCGCCCCACCAACAGCACCCCGTCTCCACTTCAAGGCGCCTCTTACTGCGCTAGGTGTCCCCAAACGGTGCGAAACGGCAGCACATTCTCCTCAGTAGATTAGATTTTGGATGCCAATGAAAACATCAACTAGTCTTATTTTTTTCAACACTGGGGTGTTGATCCAACATCAAAAGACCCCAAAAAGTTACTTTGCCTGCGTAGGCATGCGATGAGTTTTAAGTTGGGGGGATTTTTGTATTTGACGAGAAAGACAGAATTGTTTTTAAAAACTATGGAAACATGGAAACACAGGTATATTCAGAGAGACCTTACAGACCCCATTTGAGTGTCCTGAAGGTACAATAACTCTTTGATTAGGCTCAATGGGCGTATCGTTGGACGTTTCTCACATGTGGGACCAGACTACTCGCTGGTGTCTGAGACGACCCTTCTACTCAGTCCCATTTACAGATTGCATCTCCCTGTGTCGGCCTTTTCCCCTTAAGCTTGAGGACGAAGCACTTTCGAGTCACGCCGAGCAACTCGTATCCCACAGATTTCTACATCTGAGACCGGCGTTTATCAGACGCGTTGTCGAGAGCAAAGATTCAATGAATGAGTCGGTCTTTCAGACAACACGAGGCCGATGAAAGAACCGCAAGATTGTAATTTACCTAGGCTCTTTCACAGACCCCCACACACACACACACACAGATCCACTCTGTTCTCATTCTCATACAAAGGCTTTGGCAGATGGAGGCGTCTTTGTCTCGCCAGAAGTTTTTCCAACCTTGAAAAAGCCGGCCCTCCTCAGTTTAATGAAGGCGAGCCACAACAGCGGTGTGGTAATGACTGGATTGTGTACAACATTATCCCCCCCCCCTCCCCGGACGGAGGCTTTGTGCTCACCGCAGGCAGAGCTTCTCCCACCACAGAGCGAGGGGAGGGGAGGGAAAACAAGGGCGCCTCTCCAACGCTAACTCAATAATGACTTCCCACGGGGGGAGAAAAAGAAGACGGGGCAGCGTTTGAAGTGGCTGCGCCGCAGGAGGCCCCCCCCCCCCTGCCCCGGCGCTCGCCGCAGGAAGCTCCAACGTTTGTCTTCACGGAGACCCGTGCACACACTCATCGCTCTCATCAGCAACATTGTGATATCCCCTGCTCGCTCTTTAAAAAAGCAATTTGTCACTTTAGGGTTTGGGGATCTTTAGCGGTGGCTACTTCCACACTCCCAAAGTGTTCAAGTTTGCAGTGTTCACGAGCACCGACAGACACTCGTCAGACTGACTTACTTCACCCTTTAATGCCCCGTTTTGTCTTTTGAAAGTCTGCCAGCGTAGTGCATTGTCACATAAAAAAAATTGGAAAATCGTCCGCCGCACGCCACTTTACTTCAGTCCGAGATTTTCCCACCAGCTGTGTTTCCATCCAGCTGCGAAGGGAATTTGAAGCACGCTCGGTTCCATTACCTGCTCTGGAGTGAATAAAGCGGGCTGTGTTGTGTCCTCAGCGGCAGCTGTGAGAGTAAACAGTAAAACGCTCCCTAATAGGAATCAGGGAGAAGGGACTAACACGACCCCGGGAACATTAGGATCATACTGGACTTAGTTTTCTTTTTTTTTTTCTTCCTTTTATTTCTTTTTTTCAAAGAACAAATCACAGGAAGAGGATATCAGCACCTTTCAGCCAAGTCTTTCCAGCTCATTTGACAGAGAGCAGCTTAAGGGTGTAGAGTGAGCTACCCAGCTACGTCTTTTCCACAGAAGCAAACCTTTGGCCTTTAGAGCCCATCTCTTCTTTCATTGGTAAGCATGTCTCTGCATGGCCATTAAGATGTAGACAATCCTCTCAATTAGACAAACGCTTAGAGCAGTGTCTCCCAAAGCTGGACCTCAAGGACCAACCGGTGTGATCTCAGACCGATGCGCACCAAACTGATGGCAAGTCACTTTGCCAGAAGTTTTCCTTTCAAGTTGCTATATTTCTCTTGTCAGCGGTACGCTCACAGTCAATTTGGCACCATTTCCTCCTTTTGCCGCAGCATCATCCTGTGTCATTGATTGAACTGGAGCAGGATTTTAACGAACGAACGGCCGGAAAGCAGCATAATTCCAGCATTTCGTATCAGGTGCCCCTCTCTGCATTTGCTGTTCATTGACAATAGCCGAGATGGGAAAATTGTCATCGGAGTTTCCTCCTGTTCTGGATTTGCCCTGTTGCTGCCATCAGAAACAAATTGGAATTTCCAGCGTTAGCATTCCAGCATTTCCAGCAAAAAAAATCTCAATTTAGGTGATTGATCAAAAGATTTTTACTAACTTCATTGTGAGGATTTGGTGTTCAGATTAATTTGGCATTTAGGATTTTCAGCTGAAGTTCCATTACTATGGACAGAACCCAGCCAAAACTTTTTCTAGAACGTCTGGATGCACAAGTTTTCTAAAACCAAGTATGTTGATCTTCCATTTTTCTCACGTCGTGTGAGAAACACTTTGTGGGCAGAGAAGCGTGCAGAGTAGGCCGCTCTGCCCCACTACCCCCATTCCCCGCTTATATCTTTTTTCCCCCACTCTGTTCTTCCTGGAAAGAATGTGTGAATAAGAATAAGATCTGTTTACACAGTTCTTCCTTAGGTCTTAAATGAATCGGCATTCTCTCCGAGCTCCCTCCATAAACACCATTCACCAGAACAGGGAGCTCATTAAGGCCGCGCGGTAATGAGGAGCCATCCCGGTGCTCAGCGGTGGGTTAATTGGGCCAAAGAGGCCAAGAGGAGCCAAGTGTGTGTGTGTGAGCGTCTGAATGGCAGCGGAAAAGAGGGCCCCCCCAACACACACTTAGCCCCCCGCGCCCGTGCAAACACACCAGACCCCTTCAATGGACACAGTCTGAATCGCCGCGACCCGCAGAGGTCAGCTCGTAATCGCCATGGCGATGGGGGCGGGATCTATGGCCCCTAAGTGCCGGCATCCTTTTCCCCCTCTCCCTCCCCAACAGTTGGCAGCCCTTAAAACCATTAAAAGTGACAACTGCCGGTTTGAAAATGAGGAAAAACGACATCTTGTTTCGCTGTCAGCCGCCTGACAGATACCTCTCGCATTTTTTTTTCTATTCTTTGGCAACGTTCGCGCCCGCCAGCAGCCTGTGTACCCCTCTCTGTTTGCAGAGGCAGAAGTGCGTCAAGTTCTTTCCAGCGGGGGGGAGGGGGAGGCCTGCCTCACCGTGTAATCCCCTCAAAGTGTCTTATCGTCTCTCTCGGGGAGAGCAGCGGTTGGGGGAGGAGAAGATCCTGAGCCCCCGTTATCGCCAGAGCTCATCTCCCTACATTATTAAACACCCATATTTCCATATTTCATTGAGCCCCCGTCGCCTCTGCAAATCACGGCCTACTTAGCATTCATATGAGACGGGGATTTGCTTAATGGGTATTAGATTTGTAGATGGTTATCCCGTGGCTATGTCTTTAGTACGCAGAGCCAGTCCATCAGTCAGTCGCCGCGACTCTCTCGCTCCCGTGGCAACGCTTCTAAGACACGTCCGCCACCTTTTCTTTTACCGCCTTTATGTGGGGTACTGCGGCCGTTTTAATGAGGAGAAACGCCCTGTTTTTTTTCTCACTCTGGGTCCTCAGGTCGAAGAAGGTGACGGAGCTGGCGACAAGCCTGCAAAAAGCCTCGCTGCAGAAAGAGGACTTGGATCTGGAGCTGGACGAGCTGGAGAGAGCAGCAGCAATGGTGATGGAGGAAGAAGAAGAAGAAGAAGAAGAGGACGAGCAGCGGGCTTCCAGCAGAACCCCAGAATCCAGCAGTGACAGCAGCAGTGAGAGTGAAGAGTCTGATCCTGAGGGGCAAGGCTGCTCTGGTTCCATGGAGGAGAGAGAACGAGGAAGAGGAGGAGGCAATACACGCAAGGACAGCCCTCTCCAGCCCCAACCCTCCTCCTCTGCCTCTCCCATCCCCCAGACGCCCGCCGGCGCACTCCTCCCAGCACAGCAGAGGGAGGCGGACGCCCCTCTCCCAGCCCCACAAGGCTGCCGAACGCTGATCCAGGAGCTGGGGGAGCGCTTGGCGGAGGAGCTGAGAGTCTCTCCGGACTCCCCCCGCTCACAGCCGAGCGGAGCGGAAACATCTGGAGGGAGCAGCGGCGGGAGCGCGCTGGAGCCGAGCCCCCGCAGAGACCCCCTGCTCATCGTACAGACGCAGGAAGCCCTCAGCCAACCTTGAAGTGGGATTTCGTCAGCTAGACAGAGAGTGATGTGGAATCTGAAAGCTTCTTTGAATGAGATGTAAGAATTTTCTTTTTGTTTTTGTTACTATTGTCTCTGTATTAAAATGCGTTTACTCTGTTATCTTCTTCCGAAATGGCAGTTCCCATAATTTGTACATTTAATTGATTAAAGAACTTGTAAAGCTTCTATAAAATCCATTGTTTACTCATGTTTTCCCTGAAAGAGCATGTTAGACAGCGTTACAAACTTTTTTTCTCTTTATCTGTTTTCCTTTTTACCAAGCCTAATCTGCAATAGGATTTTTTTTTGGGTAGCTTTTTTTAATTAAATACAATTTCCTTTGTAATTGATTGAGAAAAACAGGGCTGCTTTAACTCGTGTCTTCTGTTTGCTGACATCTGCTTACAGCGTAGAACGTCTCTGTCACCAGTTCTTATTTACACATAATATTTCCATTTGCGAGCAGCAGTTCCATGTGGGGTCGGGATAAGGAAAACAAGCAGCCCGAGGACGTTCATTCGCTGCCGTTTGCCACTCAGAGCCACTTTACGGGGGGTAGGAGGGGGGGAGCTATTCTTTACCTGATAAATAGCGGGGGAAAACTCCAACTCCTCTCGTAAAGCCCTGGCATTGATTGAAGTGGGAAAAGACTGCGCTGAACGGGCCGGCGGAGCGCGGCGGAGTGATTGATTCGTCCGGTGCGAGCCGAGGAGCGCCTCCGACACGGCTCAATATCACCGCCCGTGTCGAACAGGCGAGGGAAAACAAACAAGGAAGCACATGTCAGGCGGACAGATGAGGGCTGCGGCATGGGAGGCATTGGTTCGAGAGATAAGAGCACCCTGGGGGGTTGGGGGCAGCCGTAGGAAAAAAAGGGTACCAACGGGGCCTGTGAAGACAAACTGACCGGCCAGGGGCTTCGCATCCCTCTGCCTCGGCTCTCCTCGCATTTCCTTTTCGGGGAAAAAAAATTAAGTTTCATTTGGATTACAACAACGAAGATAACTGGAATATGCACCTGACTTGAGCTAGCGGGATCTGTCTAGTTTTGAGGATGCCAACGGGTTTTGAAGCGACGTTAGGGAGTGACCGGGACAGACCCCAGCCCACCCAAGATCCTAATAGAAAACAGAGTGGATGGACAGATGAATGAGGGCTGCTTAAGTGGGCTCTTTCTGTTAGTGTTGGGCTACAGAGATGGATGTGGCTGCTAAGCACCTCCTCGGGGACCGGCACCATCATCGCCGTGTGAAAGGAGATAAGGGGGGCCCTTTTAAAGCCCGCCTTTATTCCGGGGACATAAGTTCTGGGACTCGACGCCCCCGCAGGCGGTTGGCTCCTCGGGCCCCGTCGGGGCTTCGCATTGATTAAGTGACACGGGCTGCCAGTATCGTTTTTCATTTTAAAGTGGTCCCCGTATTCCTCCACAAGAGCTGCCATCTCAAAGAGTTACGATCTGTGGCCATTTTTTTTTTTTCCATTTCAGTCGGTTCTTTTGCAGTTAATTCCCCTCACAAAAGCTTTTTATTTTTTTATTTTTTTCACAGCTGATAAATGATACTGGGCTATAATTAATGTAATCTCTAAGCTGTATAGTGTCTTGAATTTGATAAATCAACCCCCTTACACTTGTAGCAAAGGGACCCCGTTGACCCTCAAGGGTCTATAAAACTGCTGTTATGTGGTCAAGTCTGTGATGTGATGATTCCGTAATGAGCCAATTAGTTATGGCATATGTTTAACCATAAAGGTCAGTCCAGCAAGTCCAGCAAAGCGCCCGCTGTTACGCACATTAAATAAACACTCCAGCCTCTTTTAAGCTATATCAGCGAGCAAGATGATGGAAAAGTCAATGTAGAGGTCATAAAAAACATATTTATCTCTAGCTGTAAGTGAAGCTGTGTTGATGACTGGGACTTTAAAAGCACGGCCCTGTTGGTCTAGATTCAGTATGAGCCGATCACGCTTTACCGACAGTTGGTTGACCAATGATCAGACTTCATGTTGCCTATTTTCTTTCATTCTACCCAATTTGACGTTCAAAACATCTTGTCTTAACCAGTTCCTTATTCAAACTGATGTATATCCATTCAAGGAACACCAGTGCAATACCAGTGAAACATTGTTCTAAAGGCTGCCCATTTAGTTTAGTTTTTTAATTAGTCTAATTTTGTTAGCAAGAGCCCTCAGGTTATTACGTTGTTCTGTCATGTGGTCGGGTGAGGGTTGTTGAGTGCTTCAAATTTTCCCCATTTTGCATTTTCCTGCAAGCACCAACACCCAGTAGCAGCAGACCCGTGGCTGAAATGGGTGCTGTGGCACCATCTGTAGCATTTTAGACATTTTAAAAAGAACGTGAGCTCACAAGCCCACGCGTGGACCAGTTTGAAAAGCCCACGTTTGATGCTTTGAGGCATTAGATACCCCACAGGGCGCGCTCATTTGAACAAAGCTAGCTCATTTATGGAAGACCTTGCTTGTCCCACGGTGAGATTGGAGATCTTCAAGCAATGTCACGACCTAGAAGACGCATTCCCTCCCTTTGTTTTTGTTTATATCGGGGAAAGACAGCGCCAAGGGCGCAGCGCCTTTTCCCTGGCACCCTCTGCCTGGGCCTGATCGTAATAGAAAACTCAATCTCCCGGCCGTTCTTGAAAGGCCGAAGTGACGCTGGTGCTTGGGAAAGATTAATGGCCCCTCCAGAAGGAATTAATCAGGCGTTCTACGGGGCCTGACTGCGACTGCGTGTGCAAACGCAAGCCTTTCCAACGCCCGCGAAGAAGACGGCGGCGGCTCTCCTCGAATGACGGTTATCAAATGGGAGCGTCGGTGTCTCTCGAGCCATGCTATCGAAGCAGGGATTCCCTCAATCCCCAGAGGAGAATCAGTCTGAATCAGTTCACCCCTCAATAACTATTTTATGGTTAATAATAGCCATTAGACCAACAAAACTATATTTCGGTTCGTACGCTATCCGACTATCCAATCAGCGGGTGTGAATACGGTGACGTTGCCTCAGGCCTTTTAGACGGCCCTGCTGTCACCAACTTAAAATCTGATTGGTTTAGCAACAGTTTAATCTACATTTGTTTTCTTAGAGGGCCCGCAGAACGGATTGTGAAGCCTCCAGGCAGACGTCTTTGACTTCGAACCTGCCTAGCAACAAATGATGGCTGAAATGTGATTGGTTAAATGCTTTAATATGAAAATACATGTCTGGAAGCAGCACACCCAGGGGAAAAGCTACGAAAGGAAGCAGACAGACCATTCAGAGATATTTAATAAGTATTCATAGACAAAATATAATTAACATCAGTCTGTAATTTAGGTATTTTCTTAGGTCAGCAGAGAAAGCCTTGCCCCACTGTAAACCATATACTCCCCCGCTTATTGCATTACGCTGCTCCCCCCTCCGAGAACACGGGCAAGCTGAGATACAGTCCAGCTTGCTGTAATTTCACACTCTGCAACACCACGTTTCTAAAGAGCGCCATTCACATTGCGCCTGTCACAAGCTTTATGCCGTCTCCCGTGTCCACAGCTCTAGTTCCTTATCGGAGACGCGCTCTTGTTTGTTTCCCCAGCTAAAACAGCTGTCAAATCCAATTAATATTTCACCCAGACACTGCGCGGGAGGAATCCTTCGGAGCGCAGAGGGAGTTAAAAAACAACAAACTAAAAACACAGACTCTTCCCCCTCAGTCCCGATTATTTTTGGGGATTCTCATTTCTTCGGAGCCTGGATTCCTACCCTTTTGGTCTCAAGCAATAACTTCTCCGATCTTCCTTCGGGACATAGTATCCCTTTTCACCCATTTTCACTCCAGTATCTTTACCTGAGGGTACTCAGAGGGCTTGGTTTGTTGATTTTGTTCCACTTCTATTTCTATTCAAGCATGAGAAAGGCAACAAACCTGTGAAGTGTTTGCATCTGAATGAAGCAAAGAACCAATTTTCTCATTTTGGTATTTGTGGCTGTAAAAATGTTCACTTTCTTCAAATTTGTCTATCAAATTGTTTAAGATAGACAGATGCGAACTAGTTGATGTCCGAGCTATTTGCTAAAAACTTGCTCAACACTATGGAAAATATACAAACGGAGAACCAGAGAAAGAAGCATCAGGTCAGATGAATAATATCTATTTATAATGGACTGACATACAGTTGGATAAAATACAGCAAAGACCAGACATAGGACATGAGAGGTGCATAAATGGTCTTAGTGGAAGGGTGGCTGTCAAGAAGCAATTTTCAAGGAAGCGAAAAAAGGTGGGGGGTGGCAAAAAGACACAAAAGGTGGGATAAAAAACCATTGGCAACAGTACAAAAGGACTAATTGATAATGGTCTTGCAGTAGACTGTAGAAGTGCTTTTTCACACGTACATTTGCGACTCCTCTACGTCAAATATAAAAATGCACAGGCAGAATAAGTCAGTCATTAATACTGAAAGTCCCACCAACATTTTGCGATACACCAGGAAGATCTAAAAGGGTTTTCCTTCTTGTTGTCCGGCCTGATGAACATAAAACCCTGGACACCCTCTACACATAACTGTTGAAACAAGGGAGTATTTTGAGTCAGAGCCTTACTCTGATGCACAGGGGCTTCTTATTGAGAAAAAAATCCACATTTCCAATTGGAATTACTGAAGTAGCTTTCATTTGATTCAATAGAATTGCATAGCTCCACCCGTCTTCAATTTTTCGTTGTCCCTCATTTGATTTCAGCCAAAGTTTGTGCGAAATCAAGCTGTTTTGGGGTTTCCAGCCCCTCTCCTCTCCACCCCTTATGCACATCCCAACAGCTGGAACACCGTGGAATGGGCCGTATGGCAGCAGATACCCACATGATCCTGTCGTGCCTCCCCCAGCTGACACAGCATCAGCAGAGGGGGGGGGGGGCGGTGCGTTAGAGGCAGGAGAGTGGAAGAAAGGTAGCCGTCTGAACTCGCTGTGTGTAATTTCTTTTGATTTCTACCGCTCTCTCCCTTCGAAAATGAATAACTAAAAGGGGTTGAGTTGTCTTGATACTGCGTACGTACCCAAAAAAACGCTGTTAGATCCACAGCGGGTGGCGCCTCGGCGCCGGCATCCACACGTGCCTTAACGTGAGCGGCAGCACGCTGGATCATACCGACATCAGAGCAAAGAAAACGCGGGCTGTGTGTTAATGCCGTGTCAAGCAGCGGAACGGCGTCAGATCAGATGAGAAAA